AATTCGTCACTATACATCAACTTCCTTGATCATGAGAAAGTATTTGACAGTGTGGATAGGAAAAAAGTATGGAAACTTCTTCGACACTACGGTGTGAGTACCTGATAAAATCTTCAACATCATCCGGAACTCATACAACGGACTACAGTGCAAAGTGGTGCATGGAGAACAGCTGACAGTTGCACTCCAAGTGAAGACCAGCGTCAGACAACGCTGCCTACTCTCATCCACTTTCTTTTTTCTGTTGTTTGACTGGATTATGAAGACCTCGACATCTGACAGGAAGTGGGGAATAAAATTGACAGCTTGGAATCAGCTAGAAGATTTGGACTTCGCAGGTGATCTGGCCCTTCTATCCCATACACATGAACAAATGCAGGTCAAGACAATTAGTGTAGCGGCAGCATCTGAATCGGTAGGTCTGAACATACACAAGGGAGAAAGCAAGATCCTCAAATGCAACATGGAGAACACCAATTCAATCTCATTTGATGAAGAAGCAATGGAAGGGGTGGAGACTTTTATGTAGCTGGTCAGCAGTATCATCGATGAACAAGGAGGATCTGATGCAGAAATAAAGGTGAGGATTGACAAAATAAGGGCTGCGTTCCTACGGTTGGAGAACATATGGAACTCAAAACAAATGTCAACCAATATCAAAGTGAAAACCTTCAATATGAACGTCGAGACATTTCTACTGTACGGAGGTGAAACTTGGGGAACTACTACAACCATCATCAAAATGTGCAAGTATTTCTATACATTTGTCTACGCAACATACTGAATGTCCGTTGGTTGGATATAATCGGCAACAGCCTACTGTGGGAGAGAACAAACAAGCTTCTAACTGAAGAGGAAATGAGGAAAAGACGCTGGAAGTGGATAGGACATATATTGAGGAAATCATCAAATTGCATCATGAAGAATCATACGCTAACTTGGGATGTCGAAGGGAAACTAATCAGAGGAATTCCAAAGAACATAGTGCTCCGAGAAGTGGAAGTAGTTATGAAAAAGAAGGAATAGCAACTGGAAGCAACTGGAAAGGATTGCCGAGGTGAGAGTTCACTGGAGAATGCTCGTGAGGGTCTATGCTTCTCCACGAGGGATAACAGGCGTATGTAAGTTAATATCTATATCTCATACATTCGTTACGCAAAGTAAACAATGTGACGAGCAAAGAGGAGAAATAGATCAAAAAGATAAATACTCCAACTCGTTGTACTACTGAACATCAGCGTTAATTTAGCTCTAAATGGGTAATAACTAGTGTGTCAGACAGAGATTGGATAAAATAATGATCGATAAACAAACACACTAAAGTATATACGATGCACATAAGTGTAGAAATACAAGGACACAGAAATAAGAAGTGTATATATGCTGAATGTGCTGAATTTCCTGTGGGAAGTATTGAGTTATTATAAAAGTAAAAATGACTCACTCAATATTACTAAGTTCTGTTAAAAACCTCGGATTGATCATGTGCATTAGTATTAGATACTACAAGTACAGTGCTTAAACTACTCAAGCTGTTTGTTCTATTATTATCAAGAGTACGATTTCTCAATCTACAGACAATTATTAATTATAATGCTGCATTAGTGTCTGAGTTGTTGCAGTGTCGTTTTGAGATACCTGATGCTTTCCAAGAACGGATCAGACCACAGCTACAAGTGTGGTAGATCCCAGCAAAAGAGCTTAGTCAAAATATAACAATACGCAAAGTTACCAACAATATACCAAGATAATTAATACCACAAACCTAATCGTATGTCTATGAGTAACGCAAAAGGTAACAAATTACAGTTAAAATAAAAAAAGGTATATTGAGCAACAAAATGGTAACAGCGTTATGAAATGAATGTAAATTGTAAGCTGCTTTCTGAGATAACAACCACAAATAAGTTCACTTGGTTAACAAAAGTTCCTCTGCACGTGATGGCACCAACAGCAAAATGAAGAATATTAAATGCGGTTGTAATATTTAGTAAAGATTCGGGTCGCAGCTCCAACGTAGTGTGGGAAAGCCTAAAAGAATGTTATAATACTATTATAATCTTCAATCAAGGGCGTGGCCACTAAAGCAAAAGAATAGATGGCGGAGACAACGTTTATATTTCAAGAATGTTATATATAAACAAACAAATATATATGTTTTTTACCATTGATACAGAGAAACAATAGATACTGAATATAAATGTGGTTGCATATAAAGTGTGACAAATAGGAAAAATATGTGATCTTTATTTCGTTGCTATAAAAAAATCACTGAATATACATGTCACAATAAGAGTCCCGGCGATTTCTAGAATCTGTTCTGCAAAAGGGAGATACTTCCTTTCTTTGAAACAGTGTAAAAACAAACATATCTGAAACATTTGTGACTGCCTCAAGCAAGAATCGTATTGCTAAGTGGAAAGTGAATAAATTGTGAAATACACGGTTTCATAATTGGAAATATTATTACATCAGTTGTCTATGAGTAGTTATTAATGTAGATTACAAATAGCCATTGACAAGTAATAACTTGTCCGTTTGAACATTTAATATCATGTAAATCATAATTTCATGTAAAATTTGTATAGCAGAAGAGGGCATTCAACTGATTAACTAATTACATTTATTGTATGAAAATCAGTATATATGTATGTAGACGTTAGCATCCGTATGTGTATTTAAAAAAGGTCATCTAACTGTTTCTAAATCAATGAATATCATAAATATTTTTGAAGCTTACTTTATAGCTACCAAAATGATCACTCAAAACCATTCTGGTAAGTAACTGAATTATCAATTCATTCGACAAATTTATCTGTTAACATCGATAGTTTACCAATTACAAAAGATGTAAATGAATTCCTACTTACAATGATTGTTCGGTAATCTGACTTGAGCATGTTTTCCAGTATTTACTTATAATAGTGTGACTCAACAAATCAAATGCACGTGATCCATAACAATGATTTCTTACCTATAAGTCCTTGAAGTTGACTGGGAATCCTCGAAATAGAACTAGGTGAGCACAAACGAACGTATTGTATTTGGAATTCAAAATCAGGCAGTCACCAAGTTCAAATGAACGATTAGTTCTTACAAACACCACATGTTATCACTCAATAAATTAGTTTTCGTAGATCGGACTACATGTGACTGTAGACAATAATCGAGAAGCCGTGAAACTTTATCACAAACTTATTATACACATTTCTATAGCCTCAAGCGAACTTATACTGTTTTAATGGCATAAAATCACCCAACTCAGATATTTTACAGGCAGTTACGATACAAAGTATTAACTTGAGTAGTAACAGGTACTACTTTTGTTAACAGAAATGCTTTGTATTAAGACTTATGTCAGAATTATGTTTTTTTGTTTAAATTCTAAATTCATTCCGTTAACAAAACATCACTTATCTGTCGACTAAATAACATAAGCTGGTAATGGTCTTATCTTATTGTCTTCACATGTCCTTCAACTTAATTTAGCATGTAATTTACTGATGCGCTCCTTTTGTCTAAGCACATTAAATCCTTTGATTTCTTAATAACTGCTATAAATTGGGGAAGATTCTTTATTCTTCATCAAGTTTGAGATAATCTTCACTGAATCAAAAAGGAGGAAATGTCGAGGAGAAACGATGAATGTGATAGAAATGCGAAGCTTTAAGTACACTTCAAACAAAGAGAGACATTCGATATTATAGTAGTCGCTCAATATGAATAATAAAGACTCGGTTATTTTTTTGCCCTGTACTAATTTACTGTCTACAAATTTCTATGCAATTCTAGAATGAATATGTTGAGGTTATTTATTTTTGGATTTTTTTTTCATTGAGCTGCATGTTTACACAAATTATATCTGGAACATTTTAATGATAACCTTAGACACGGCTAAACAAATAATCAGTAGGGTCTATCTTTGCATACCTGGGAAGTGTGTATACATGAATTTTTTGTTTTGCCAGTCATTTTTAAAATGTTCATCCAGTTTATAATCTATCATTTAAGTAACTATAGATGGTCATATACACAGGGTTTGAGAATATATGATTTCTAAGCTGGTTAAATAATGGTCAAAATAGTAAAATGCTGTCTAATGCATAAATAACTTTGATCAAGTTAGTAAAACCAACACCAGTGAATGAGCATAGCTAAGTTACAGAGATTCTTTGAGGTAATCCCACTCAGCCTCCTCGATCATTGTGCTTGCCTCATTCAGGACTCTATACCAATCGATACCAAACAGGCGGGCACTCAATGACCTGCTAGATTCATGTTATCTCTTGATCTGCTCGTTCGGAGCTCTCTTCTAGCCCATTAATATATTAATAAGCGCCGGGTACCCGAGTGATCAGTGGTTATGTTAGCGTAACACAGTCATTCGACCCATCCTAGTTGATGAAACTATCAATAGTCTCAAGGTCAAAGTACTTTTTTCATGAAATGTGAGTGAACTAGAATGCATTTGAAACAGCATTTAAAAAGACGGTTATGTTAATATTGTGCATGTGTAATCTTAGTTTACGTTAGTGTATTATTCTGGATAATTTAAAACCGAATATGGATACCCTAGGAAGATGCTTATTAATTTTCAGGCGTCCCAGCCATTCTGTAAGTTATTAATTAAAAACTGAATCTATTCAAAATCATTTTAGTGGAGCTAGATTGGTCCACAGTCTATGAGTTAGATATGTAGCTAATCAGACGAATGTATAGTTTGTTGAATGATTACATTATTTATTGTTCTTTAGATTACATGAAAGCAATTTTACCAGTGAACTTACCTTTCATTTTACCAGTCCATTCAATACGAGTAAAGGGAAAAAACAGTGCATGAATGCAAGATTATGCAGTGGAATAGATGTAGTTATTCAATAATCTGTGTTTGTGGAGTTCATAATATCAAATTACAGATTTGATAATGAAATTAGTTTCATCATGTTATTTCGTCTTTTTGTAAATTTTCACGTAAGATTTGTTTAGATATTATCTTACGGATGTTTGATTTGATTTCTACAGATAGAATTAATTTCATCGAACGGGGTGGTACAGGATTATTACCTTGCACAATAAATACATGCTTGAATCAAGGCATATGTTTAATGGATCCATTATTCAACAAATTCAGGTGTATATGTGGAGCGTATCATTCTGGTAATCTATGTGAGAAATTTAATAGCAGTATTTTCATTTGTTCAAAACTTGGTTTATGTAGACCACTTGGTGTAAGTATTTCACTGTATAATTAAATATTTGAAATTCCCTTATGACTATGTTAAACAATGTTTATTACGATTTAATCGTTGGCAGGTGGTATGAATCAGTGAGTTTATCATAATGATCTATTTTTTTATAAAAATCCTTTAGTTGTTTATTAGCTAACATCCGAAACAATTTTTACGTAAAATATCAGTGTTGGAAGGATATTTATTCAAGATATTACTAACTACTTACGAGTAGTTCGAAGATTACAATGAATTCATTGTGCATTGTGTTCTAGTTTTATCCATTATGTAGGATTTATTAAAATGGATTTGATGTTAAAAAGTGCATAATCTCTATTCTTTTAGATAGAAATCGTGGATCATAGTTCTAAGATTCCTTAAAACTCTATTAACTAGCTTATATTTGCTGAAAAAATATTTTCTGTGAAATTTTATTGAACTGTAAAGTTATGAGTAAACTGGCTCTTAAGAAGAAGGTTGTATTATTTGCACTAAACTTGGTCTTTTAGAACATTACATTGGCGCAAAAACGTGTGCCATAAGCTTCATTCCAGAAGACATGATAAATACAGGTCATGTAGCATTACGAGAATCATTATTCAAATTGATCTATGCTGCCTAAATGAAGTGACTAAAATGTAGTTTTAATTAAAAATGCGTATAGCACAGAGACTTTACTAATTTAACTGTTCAGGCTTGATTCCTATTTCTGAAACCTATGTGTCTGGTGGATAATGTTACCGTACTCAAAACCCCGATCTTTAATCTCGTAAGCTTTTCTTTTTTTTAATTTACCTATACTTCGTTCATACCTCTTTTGTATTCATCATTTTCACCTTAATGGTTCTCACTATATTCTGACTATTGGGCACCTTATATTCTATACCTGTATTCATTGACAACTTTGCTAACTATTCAACACCATATTATTTAATAAGTGATATTTGTTATGGGTTTAACTTATTTTGGGTTTCACTGAAAAGTCAGGGAGCGGTTCTCAGTTGAGGAATCCTATACTTGTACGAAACAACTGTCCAGTGCTTCCTGGTTTACAATGGTGAAAGAAATTTGGTTAAGCTGTGGTGAATTTCACACACGAATTGAACTAAATTTCACAAGATCTCTTCGTCAATAATTACTTATTTCGTTGTAGATTACTATGTAAAAGAAATTACTCATAAATTTCAATGAATGATAGAACGTCTTATCTAAATTATCTTCATTTTTGAGGCAAAGCGAAATATCAGTTTTAATCATGTTCGTTATAAAAATATTAGGTCATATCATACGGTAAATTTAGGTGAGGCGATAAAAATAAATGAATTTAGGTTTGTTAATTATCGTTCTCGTAAGTCAAAAAATGTAAGTGATGATCTTACAAAATGTGAGTTTCTACATGTTATAACTAACCATCTTTGTCTAACTCTACACTATTCGGTCATATCGAAACACCCACATACTTTCAACACCAAACCTTGAGTGAAGGCTTTCTAGGTACATTTTGTATTTAGGATAGATGGAATGTGACTAACAGCGGAATCCAGGATGCTCTTTTCGTTCTGTTTGGAATTTATCAACTGGATGTATCTGGATTACATTCCTGGCGTTAATATTGAAACTCGAATTAAATATCTTTCGTTTCAAACACACGGTGAGTTATTGACTGAGTCAAAGGATCCAGAAAGTTAGTCTATCTGTTTTAAGTAACTTGAACAAGATACAAGTATGCTAACAAAGAGTGATGACAATTCAATCATGAATATTATCATCTGGATAACTAAATGTTCTACTTATTATTATGTATTTTGTACTTCCTAAAATATATCCAGGAAATTCATCATTTTGAGTTTAATAAAAATATCTACGTGAATTGTATGAATCATATTTCTTACAAACGACTCATGTTTGAACTTATTCTAGCTTTGGGTACTTGAAGATGCGAATTTTAATTAAAATTCCAAGTTTTTGATAAAAATGTGCTCGTTTCAATTCAATCTAATTAAAAATAATAAACTTACGGAAATTGAGTAAAACATTAATAGAGTATCTATTGAAAGCTATAAGTTTAACTCATTTAATGACATTTAAGACTTAATTCACGACATTTAAAATTTTCTTGAATGTCTTTTCTTGGTGAGTTATTTACAAATAAAACACAAATAGTCTATAAAAGTTTTAGAAGTATCTTAAAATCAAGGTTATTCATTCAAATAATTTGTCATGGTATTCATTTCCAAACTTCCTCTTATTTGGCCGAACAATTTTGGGAAAACTCATAAAGTTGTAACTTGTAGGTATGGAAGATATCATGCATATACTTAAAAGCCCCATAACATTCCGATGTCAATGCAACATGCAATTCAACTATTGAACACGAGTGCTTTTAAAAACAACGTATTTCGATGTTTAATCCGACATATTTTATTAACCTTTAATTGAGGGATAATTTCAAATTCAGTTTTACGAAAGCTAATTAAGGTATTGGAAATAGTCATTATTATTTTTCAAAGTTGAAATCATGAGCCAATCGAAGCTAGACCACCATGGAAAACCTGGAAGCACTGGACGGCCGTTTCGTCCTATTATCGGACGTCCAATGCTTCCAGGTTTTCCATGGTGGTCTAGCTTCAATTGGCTCATGATTTCAACTTTGAAAAATACTGAATCTCCACAAAACCCCTTCTGATTATAGTCATTATCAGTTATTTAGAAAAGATTAACAAGAAAACCAACTCTTTGACCATTTAACATCAAAACAAAGTTCGCAGTGATATTAAGCCATTAAGACTATTTTCCAAGTTGCACAGTGGTCTGAAGTATTCGATTAATACTAAAAGACATACACTATATCATTTTTAGTCATTAAATGATCAGTCAGTGCGATGTGAAGTTCTAATTCATGATTTTCTACAGGTTTTCTATGAAATAAAACAAATGTAAACAATTAAACATTTCCATTCAAACAATCATGTATATAAGTAAATTATTCATTAGTTAATTGCTTTCATTTTTTTCTGTTCCATATAAATTCATTGATCAACCTAGCCATATCTGTTTGGATTCAGTATTTTTATGTTTCTATGTATTCTTGTCACTTTTGGACATGGATTTTGTCTATTGTTTAATAAACTATTGAAATTTATTGAGAGTGTACAAAATGATGATGAGAAAAAACAGAATAGTGATAACGATGATATAACTAATGAATCAAGAATTCAGGTTTCAAGTTCCTCATTAAATCAAATGATGAATCAAAATCTATTTATGAGAAATATGTCAAATTTAGATCAATATATAAGTTCCACGAATGTAAAAACTCGTCTTCATTTTAATCAAATAAAACCAAAATATAAATGCTTTATACGTGATCACGTCAAAATGCCACTAAATCAAGGTGATCAAAATCATCGTAAGATTATTGATTTAACTCGAATAAACAGGGATCAGTGTTTATTGATTCATAATGAAGTTGGATCGAAGAAACAGTAAGTTAGAAGTAAATATTCTGATTGTTATTTACCCTGTCAAAAATAGCATTTTGTTTGTAATGCGATCGTGACTAAAATCTTATTGTAATCACAATTGTAAACAAAATGTCTTTCTTCATATCGGGGAGTCACATCTACGTAAAGACTGAATATTAATTTTAATTGATCTAAAATGTCTCTTGTGATAGTTTTTCTTAAAGTCTGGCAGAAAGTATAATCTGCTTTTTTAAAAATATTCAAGTTTGCAATACAACTAGACGGTATTCTTATTATTTTTATAACAAAACATTCTGCAACAAAACTGTTCAGTTTACACTAAAAATTATTAATAAATGATCGAAATCATATCAGTAGTATGTGAGGGTAATCGTAAATGTCGATACACAAGTAGATGATTACTGTCTGTTGAATTCAAGAATTATTTTACGTTTATCTTATAAGAAAATTACTGTTTGTTATTTAAGCATTATAATGGTGTTATATTTATAGTTGATGACAGTAAGAATGGATTAAGAATGTCACCAGTTTTAATTATGCTGAACCGAAAACTAGGGTGGATGTATCTGTGTAGTTGTTTAACACTTATGGGACAATAGTTATATTATCTATATTGTGTGTGTGTCTGTCCCTTTTGTATCAAGTTCAGAAGCTGAGAGTTCTAAGGTTTTTTTCCCTACTGCTATTCGAGAAGGAGGGTTCTCAGGATAACAACCAGTCACTAAATACCTAAAATATTTAACTGTTAGACGATTAAATGTAGAAAGCATAGGTAGTAGTGGAAAATCGCAACCAGTTTAGACATATACTATTATCTTTATTCTCATTGTCTGCATTGAGAAAATAAATTAATGAAGGGAATTTGTAGCTGGGACATAAACGTTTGGTCGTGTTGTCTTTTTTAAACTCATTGGCTTAACAAGAAACAGTTGATTGCCGTTCTGGACAACATCATCAGCACTTGCCTCAGTCAGAAATGAACTGTTTAATCACTTCACAAGCACTAAATCAACCCATTTCGATGAACAAGTCTGTGGATAGTTTTCTTCAAAAGTTTCGTTACCTACGTCTGGATTTGTATTTTTGTTGACTCTCTCATTTGGTTAGTTTTTAGAACGGTGATTGATTTACCTTATCCCTAAAGATTGATGAACAAGGTTCACTTGTATATGCCTATTCATTTAGATTGACCTGAATGTCATGATTTCAGAAGTTTTCTGACGTTCTTTGGTTTCATCCATTCAAATTCGTGTATACTGTTTTTACATGCATTGATGTAATGGATGACGTGTCATGCCATGTCATTGCTCTTTATGTATGGGTAATAAACGAAGCGTCAACTTTGTCTTATGCTGCGTTTTCGGTATAATTTGTTTTGTAGATGGGAGTGAATTTCTCCTCTTTTGCTGTTATATCTTTTGATCAGTATCGAGTTCAATAAATTGTTCAGTAAGTGGTATAAGTAGAGATCAAAAATATTTTTGCGCTTCCACGATTTGCTCTATTATATTATATGACAACACGACTGGAACTGGAGTTTATACTACCACTAGTTTAGATACTCGTTCGATATGCTATACACAAACCCGAACCACATTACACCATTTACATGATTCACGACCAAAGCGAAGAACTAGGGTACATGTAAGACAACACATAATCTAGCACAATTATTAACAGTCCACTCTAAGTCCTAAACATAGATCAATAATGGGAAGTAAACCCTAAATTAGACAGTCAGTAAGATATATCTGTCGGTTCACGGTGGTTGAACAATCTCATTTACTTTCACTAACCATAAATCATTAGGCTAATAATCTAGTTTCCGGTTTTAACTTGGATTGAAAATTTAGGTACTTGATTAAAAGATAAGTTCTTGATGATCCAGTGAGTGTTCGTCACTTGTGAGTTTCTGCTTTGTCTGCGGTGATGAATTTAAATTCTGTTGAGATCCGATAAAAGTTATATCGTATTACTAACTGCAATATAAATTAATGATTCAATGGCGCTTTAGACTACAACAAACCAACTGTTGACTACAACTTAATTCCAGATGGTTCTCTAGATGATGTCAGTCCGTGACAAAATATTCCATAAATTTATCTAGCTTCTTCAAGACTGCCCAATGAAACTTGAGAAAAATCATGTATTTTTCTTATTCAGAAATCCAGATTGCCCTTAAACAGAATTTCAACAACAGTTTGCATAATCTTTCTGATATTTATTATTATTTGCTTTAATTCAGTTTACATTTCCAGCCGATGCCAACTTTATTTGTTAAAAAACCGAATTATTCTCATGAATTGAACGAAATACCTGAAAATGAAAATCCTTATCTAAATGATAATTCCTACTCATCAAATGAGACTAAAGCTTCATTAAAAACTTTGTCATTCAGACAAAAAGTTAATGTTAATGATGATAATTGTGGAGGTTATGATAATGATGATGACGATGAAGATGATGATGATGAAGATGATGTTAATGGTGTTGATAACGATAATAATGATGATAAATTATTAACACCTTCCGCAAACAATTCATCTTTATCACCAACAAGTTCAAAATATCAACAGTCTTGTAGTATACCGCTACAGAATATGGAAAATACTAACGCTTTATCAACATCAGCCAAAACGTCTTATATAAACACACATCAAAATCACAAAATATATACTAAACATATTCACATACTTCAAGCTCCCAAAAGAGATTCATCTTTCTTTAAACGGTTATTTAAATGTGGTTAGATTATGAGACATCCAACAAGACAATATAACACAAATAAATCTGTAGTGGAAACAAATACAAATTCACCTTTAACTTGTAGATATAATTCATCTTATGTGTCAATTTGTTCAACAGCTACAACAAAGTCCACAATACCAAAAGGATCAACAAAGACATTTGTAGTTTACAACAATCATAAGTCTGAAACTATTTTACAACCATCAGAGAACAGAATAAAAAATATTTTAATTAAAAATGAAGTTGACAATCAGTCAGCTTATATTACTTTGCATTTATAGCGTAATAATAATAACAATAATAATACTAATAGCCCTAATGAGGTTTGCATGGAATATGACAATTTTCTCAATAATTCACAGATATACTACTTATAATGTAAAATCTATTCATTTCTATATCAAGAATATGTTAGATAAATATGATTTAATCTCGCTTTTTAAAAAAGTAACTTATATGGTTATATTGATATTACGTTTATTGAAAAATTCATTTATGCTGGATTTGTGACGAAATTGTAATTTTGTTGGGTTCATTTTTATTTTTTAAATCTTAGATTTAATAAACAGAGCTTTCCAGTCATAAAAGTATATGAATGCCTACAAACTAAGCCTATACTGTTCAGTCGTAAAGCTTAAATTAGTTATTTGACTACTGATATAAACTACCATCAATTAATAATGACTGTACTCGTTAAGAGGCTAGTCATTGATCTCATACACTATTTTATTCACACTAGTTTATGTAGTCATACTTCAATAAGTTCTATACAATGTTTGAGATTAGCATTTAACGGTACTAATCTAAATGAGAATACGTGACACGATGAAATAGAGTCCAGATTTTAAAAAAGACTAGAAGTTCAGTAAAAAAGGTCGAAATATTTTCAGCCTTGATGACATTGAAGCAAATAGTATATAATAATATACATCAGATAGATTGTTTTCAGCTATAGGTATTTTTATCATCACAAATGTATTTTCAACGGAATGACAAAATAATTGGTTACCTGGCGATTATTTGCTAGGGTATTATATACAATACTAAGTTTAGAATTCGAGAGTGGAAGTCCCATGTCGTGCAGTAAAGCTTTTAAGCTATGGAGTATTTTTTTCAAGATGTTCCAAAAGGTATATTTAACAGTGACTTAGGATAGATCTCGATGAACGGCTGGTGTATTTGGCTAGACAGGGACAATTAGTACATACCCGTGGAAGTAATTAATCAGTGTAATTTATCCTTTATAATAAAATAATATGACATGCTTGCCACAGTAAGTTATGCAGTTGTTCGTGATATGAAAAGTATATCGCTAGTAATAATTTTATCAGCAATTAAGATTCAATCAAGATAGAAAATATACACATAATCACTGAAAAATCTTTTAATCTCCGACGTTTCTTAACAAATTGCAACTGACATCCATTTTTAAAACAAACTGATTTAAATTATTTGTATTGAGATCAGAAACCAATATATGTTAGACCACTATTGAAAAACTGGGTACACTGGACGGGACTCCTCAGCAGTGCTCACCCACGGTCCCGCGCGTGAGATTTGAACTCAGGGTCTTTGACCCCGCGCACGAACGCTTAATCTCTAGACCACTGTGCCGGGACCCGACAGTGTATAACTTCAACTACTCCACGATACCGTGTTTCATTGTCTTTAGTGGGTAAATGCCTTACACCTGAGGCAGTTCATCTCCACTGGTCACAGCTTCTCACAACGACTCCGAGAATTACCTCTTGAAGCTAATCACCAGCGAGCATATGATAATTATTAGTATAAGGTTGTGGAAATAGTTGAGTTTTTATTAAGATCATAAACCGATCAATATTCGATAACCACTGAAAACTACTTGGTTTATCATGAGGTGATTGGCGCACAAGTTTAACCACGATAAAATTCATATGAATGAAACTGATCCAAACTATTCGATTTTGAACACGAGTTTTCTTCACTAAGCAGAATTGGTTAGAATCACTTATTTTAATGGTGGAAATTAAAAAATAAAAAATAAAATGAAAATAAATTTCTATTAGTAGTTTATATAATTGTGGAAGATTAGTGTTGTATCCCGTGGAGAATTATGAATGGTAACTTTTGAGAACTGTTTATGGACCAATATGATACGTATATTTCCTATTGTATAATTCTTCAGTAACTTAACTATTCGTATTCGTGTCCCTCTTATCATAAGCTTTATTTTGATCTATAGACTATTATTATACGATTTAACACTCATGAGTTATCCCTAATCCATTAATTACTGTTCCACACATTCACAGCCACATTTGGCTAAATCTTGTACAAATGTTGTTTTCTATTTTATGGTAGGATGTGGTCAGTCTGTTTGGTATATAAACCGAGTATGTTTGAGAATAATGATTGATATTGCAGAGGTTGTTATCGGTGTTCTGGACTTAACTGACTGGACTAAGCAGAAAGCAGGACCGAGTAGTGCTCAAGACTACTCATACAGCTCCTCTCTGATTGGCAGGAATCAGCACGTTCATATATTAATAAGGCACGCACACGATATAATAATTAATTTTTAATAAATAAGTAATTAGAGTAAGTTTATGTTATTCAATGTTTGAACGAAATCGTAAGTCAAATCAAATTTGTTTTCATAAGTCGTATACAAATTTTTTTAAATATGACGAATTAATTGAAATGATAAATGGAAATATATAAATACTGTTGATCATTTGCCAATTGAATGAATGAGTTTTATGGATTTAAATGAGAGTTATACATTTCTTACGACTTTATAACAATTTGGAATTGAATTAGTTGATTGTACTTTTTTTAAATAAGATGATGATTTGGTAGAATTGAATGTATCTGATAAACTGACAGGCATTTTCCGGTTTATTATAGGTTTATCTTCCATCAAATATTCATTAGGTTCCATACATTCATCAGGTTTAATAAGCTTTTTAATTCTCTGTAAAGAAAGTTTTTAAAGAAAACGTAGTATTGAATGCATTAAGCATTCAGAAAGACTTCAAGTGATAATAAAATGGTGGATAAATAGATTTAAAAGTTTGCTACAAAACAGCCTTTTATATCATATTTACACTGATATTTCTCATAGACGAGCCAGTAATCACTACTTTCAGGTTGGTTATGTTTAAGGAGATGAATTTGTAAGTGAGCATTTTGACGGCACTAATTAATTTTCTCTCATGAAAATCATTCATCAATTAACTTACATCGAAAGAGGAAAAGACAACAGTCACTACATTATTGTATATTCAGTTAATTCATTATGTTATTGACTGAAAGTGTTTTCAGCTCTATGATATTTACTTGATAATTTAAGGTTTCAAAATCTTTGGCCTCAAACAACATTTATCAGAAGCATTTTTTCAGTCTTATCACTTGAGTACTCCTTTCCAATTATTTACTGTTGCGATTCATTGTTTACATGTTTATTTCCAAATCCCGACGTAATGTGTAACTTGGTCTTCTATTTTTCCTCTTCTCCTTAAGACTTTAAGTTAGCGAACGCCTCGTGATGCAGTTTGATGATTTCCTCAATAGATGTCCTATCCACTTCCAGCGTCTTTTCCTCATTTCCTCTTCAGTTAGAAGCTTGTTTGTTCTCTCCCACAGTAGGCTGTTGCCGATTATATCCAACCAACGGACATTCAGTATGTTGCGTAGACAAATGTATAGAAATACTTGCACATTTTGATGATGGTTGTAGTAGTTCCCCAAGTTTCACTTTGATATTGGTTGACATTTGTTTTGAGTTCCATATGTTCTCCAACCGTAGGAACGCAGCCCTTATTTTGTCAATCCTCACCTTTATTTCTGCATCAGATCCTCCTTGTTCATCGATGATACTGCTGACCAGCTACATAAAAGTCTCCACCCCTTCCATTGCTTCTTCATCAAATGAGATTGAATTGGTGTTCTCCATGTTGCATTTGAGGATCTTGCTTTCTCCCTTGTGTATGTTCAGACCTACCGATTCAGATGCTGCCGCTACACTAATTGTCTTGACCTGCATTTGTTCATGTGTATGGGATAGAAGGGCCAGATCACCTGCGAAGTCCAAATCTTCTAGCTGATTCCAAGCTGTCAATTTTATTCCCCACTTCCTGTCAGATGTCGAGGTCTTCATAATCCAGTCAAACAACAGAAAAAAGAAAGTGGATGAGAGTAGGCAGCGTTGTCTGACGCTGGTCTTCACTTGGAGTGCAACTGTCAGCTGTTCTCCATGCACCACTTTGCACTGTAGTCCGTTGTATGAGTTCCGGATGATGTTGAAGATTTTATCAGGTACTCACACCGTAGTGTCGAAGAAGTTTCCATACTTTTTTCCTATCCACACTGTCAAATACTTTCTCATGATCAAGGAAGTTGATGTATAGTGACGAATTCTATTCAACTGATTGTTCGACGTTGAACCGTGGTGTCGCGTTTTGGTTTATGTGTGACCGGTCCTTACAGAATCTGGTCTGTTGATCTAAAAGTTTGGCGTCTACTGAATCTTTCATCCGGTTTAGCAACACCCAGTTGAAAAGCTTTCCTGGTATCGATAATAGTGTGATTACTCTGTAGTTCTCACATTTGCTCAGATCTCCTTTCTTCAATATCTTGGTGAGGTGTCCTTCTTTCCAGTCTATCGATACTTGTTCTTCTTCAAGAAACTTCGTGACTAGAACATGGGGCATGTTTTCGGCTACTTCCTTGTATGACTTTAGTGTTTCAGCTGGAATATTATAGTTTGTAAGTAGCTGATAACAATCTAATGAAATAATAGGAATAAATGTTTTGTTATTCAGCTCAAGTGTTTGTTCTTTAAAAGAAGAATAAATGTTATTCATGATTTATTTTAATCTATAATACGGTAGTATTTGTCATTTAAGGAACCAGATCATTTTATTTTTTATATTATTGTAAGCCTATTATCCAATTTAAGAATATCATTAATATAAATAGTTTAAATATTCTGTAAAGTTTATGCTCTACTGAATAGTTAGACATATTCAGAGGAATTAATTAAATTTAGTACGGATATAAATTTATGAATATAGTCGTTTTTTTATTAATTCACTGATTTGATAGTATGAAATGAATCTCAATTTCTCACGGCCATCAAAGGGCTAATATTATCATTGTTCACACGTTTACAGTTAAAAAAATCAAATCATATAATATTTAAATTCAACTTATTTATGCTACTTAAATAGGTATGGAAATAAGTGTAATTAGTGATTTATTTTCATAGTTGCAAGCGTGAGTCAATTGAAGCTAGACCACCAAGGAGAACCTGGAAGCACTGGACGGCCGTTTCGTCCTATCGTGGGACTCCTCAGCAGTGCACATCCTTGACCTCGCTTCGCGAGATTCGAACCCAGAACCTACCAGTCTCGCGCCAGAGCACTTAACCGATAGACCACTGAGCTGGCATCCGATGGTGTTTATGTCTAACTCCAACCAATTCTGATAATGATTTATCGTTTTTTGTTATTTTTTATTTATTCTGTTTTTAAGGTCTCGTCATTTTAGGTAGGAAATGTGAGTATCATTAAAAATAATACGTCAGTATATACTTGGCTATATAAAATAATCTAGCTTTAACACTTTAGACTGTGTATAACGTTCCTTCACTGTTATTGATGGTTAAAAGTAACAATCACAAAACCATAAAACATAAAACAAATAAGAAATAATTAAATACATTAGTTATTAAAATATGATTGAATTTACTTCACTGAAAGTTCCTTCAGTACGTAATATTTGAATAATAGCCACAATTGGTATTGTTAAAATAGCTGAACCACTAAAAATACCACCCAATATATTTGCCCATAATGGATAGGTATAATCACCTAATTGTAGAGGTTGATAATTCGATAATCCATAAGTAATATTGAACTGATAAAATAGATATAATTAAAGATTTTATGAAAATTAAAAATAGATTTCATAAATAACTTGAACTGAAATTAAAATTAAATATAAGTTTCTAAAGCCTATTTTCCAGCCTATTATCAAATGTCATTGTTGACAAATAACTTAAATACAGTATTACACATGATAGTCGGAAACATTTGGTTAAAAACATGTATGAACTATTTACTGTGGCTCATGACTTTGAATTAAGCAACATGAGATCATGTAAATTGTTATATCCCGAAGAGAATTATGAATGGTAACTTTTGAGAACTGTTTATGGACCAATATGATACGTATATTTCCTATTGTATAATTCTTCAGTAACTTAACTATTCGTATTCGTGTCCCTCTTATCATAAGCTTTATTTTGACCTATAGACTATTATTATACGATTTAACACTCATGAGTTATCCCTAATCCATTAATTACTGTTCCACACATTCACAGCCACATTTGGCTAAATCTTGTACAAATGTTGTTTTCTATTTTATGGTAGGATGTGGTCAGTCTGTTTGGTATATAAACCGAGTATGTTTGAGAATAATGATTGATATTGCAGAGGTTGTTATCGGTGTTCTGGACTTAACTGACTGGACTAAGCAGAAAGCAGGACCGAGTAGTGCTCAAGACTACTCATACAGCTTTTGTGTATGATTGCTCTGATCGATAATTCACTCCTCTCTGATTGGCGAGAATTATCACGTCATATATTAACAGGGGACGCACGCACTCACGCAATCGATATAACATAAATATTTTCATTTTAAATTAAGCTGCTATACGATGTTTTAAGTCCTAATCACAAACTTTGAAATACCACAGTGAGTTCATTGTCCATTCAGTCGGTTATTTAATTATATACGTTACATAGAATGTTACTATAGAATTTTCAGTCAGATAATTTTATTGATATAATTCACTAGTTACACTATAGGCTACTAGATAAAATGACCAAAAATACTGTAATGAAAATTAGTATAAGATTAAATTACACGCGATCATTATTAAAAGAACTACGAAGTATACAACATGAGAAATAATCCGTTATTAGTTCATAAACGTCGGAAACCAGTTTAAGATAAATTGCAGTGTGAAAGTTGGCGGTTATTTACATTTCGTTCGACTTAAAATAATAAATCAACTGGTCCAGTACATTATTTTGTGTACCTTATAGTCAATGAAGTGGCTCGTTATACACATCTTGGTAATGTACAGTTGGATACCCTTAGATCTGTATTTTGGAAATGCTGAAACTTTTGATGAAAAATAATCCAGAATATCTTAGTAGATTAAGGCATTTTCAATGATGCTTAAACATTGGTTGTAATAAATTAATTTACGTTATTTTCGTCATCAAGATAGTAAAATAGATCTTGACATGCAAATAACTTGAGAAGTTCGAATATACACAGTTCTAGATATCAAAAATTTTCCGAAGACTATTTTCATCATATAATCTAATCAACTACCAACTATAAACAAACATGGATAGTGGCTAGCAGTGGAATCCAGGACGCGCGTTTCATCCTATCTGGGACTCGAAAAAGTGAATTTAAACTTCAGCCCATTGCATAAGCAAGCGGCTATCAGGACTCAGTAGCTGAGTAGATAACGCGATGGTGTTTGAGGCGAAAGGTACTGGGTTCGAGTCCCAGAGTGAACATCAACTCTGATATGCAGATACATCCAGCTGAAGAGTCCCGAATAGGACGAAACGCGCGTCAAACTGGATTCCATTGCTAGCCACTATCAATCATTGCTTATAATGCTTGTACATTAAGGTTATATCGAGGCGATACGCACAGTATGCACATATACTAATAAGGAACTGACCAGTTGCAGTCCTAAACATCAGTGAGACAATTCAAACAAACAATACTAAGTGAATATCAACTATGAAGTTTTAAGTGACTTTATTCCTATACTACAGGAATTTTCACTAATTATATAATATGAATAGTTCTATTAGATCATTAATATACAAATAACTCTTTCAACTTAACACAATAGTAAAACAAATAAGATGAATACAAGGAATGATTAAATTTGTTTTTGCAAATAACACTTGAACAAACCAAAATAAATAGTGGAGCAATAAATTTCCAGCAAATTTTCCAAAATATTCCTGGTTGAAAGCCTAACATTTGTTTAATATTTTGTCGAAAACGATCAACACCTATAATAAATAAATAAAAATTTATTTTATATTTTCTATATAATAATTTATACTTCATTTTACCATATATCCAAGCGATACAAACTGTTTCACATAATACAGCTAACAAAATTGGATATTCAACGCAAGTTCTTTCAAATAAATGAAACCAATAGATACCACCCTAAAAAAAAGAAAATAAAAAACTAAGGTTAATTTCAATAAACATAATGAGTAGTCTTTTTTATACAGGAAGAAATATAAAGTCAATAATTACAAAGGCTAATCCAAGTCTATTAATGTTTGCTGATTGGGTTATCTATGTTATTGGAAAATCCATATATATATATATATATATATATATATATATATATATATATATCTGATATATTTAAACAGCAACCATATAAATCTTTCATTATGTTCACTAAATTATTTTCATAATGGGATCTTTATTATCAGAAGGGGTTTTGTGGAGATTTAGTATTTTCATAGTGAAAAGCATGAGTCAATTGAAGCTAGACCACCAAGGAGAACCTGGAAGTATTGAACGGCCGTTTCGTCCTATTATGGGACTCCTCAGCAGTGCACATCTACGATCCCGCACTCGCGAGATTCGAACTCAAGACCTACCAGTCTCGAGCCAGAGCACTTAACTGATAGACCACTGAACCGGGATCCGATGGTGTTTATGTCTAACTTCAACCAATCCACGAAGTTGAGCAACCGTTCACCAGTTGTCTTCAATGAGTTGATATCTCACAACAGACATGGTTTGAACTCCACTGGTCACTACTTCTCACTAGAACTCCAGGAATTACTTCTTGAAGTCAGTCACTAGTGAGCATATGATTATAATCAGAAGGGGACGAAACGGCCGTCCAGTGCTTCCAGGTTTTCCTTGGTGGTCTAGCTTCAATTAACTCATGCTTTCAATTATGAAGTTTTTATTATTTCTTTTTAACATTTTCAGTTAGGTAAACAAATCACATATCAATATAGAACTTTTAATACTTCCGACTGAATGTTATCAATCGAATTACAAATTCTAGACAAATATGATATAGGCCACTATGCAGTAGTCACTTGCCCTAAATATTTTAGGCCTACGGTGGTCATTTGAGGCCGAACTAGTTCAGTAGCGACATCTCATGAAGGGAAGCTGATTGACCTGGTTTTAAATACACCCAAGGAATATTAGCTCCCATATGATTTCAAGTACTCCTTGTTGATGAGTGTCAAACAGTACGAAACTTAGATCCTCGGTTTCCAGTCGATTACGTCCAATCAACTAGCATCTCAGAATAGTCCATGTAATTTCAAGTTACTTCGCCTGGTGGTTATATTGGGTCTACATCAACAGGATTTGAACAGCGCTAACAGAACTGGACAATCATGACATCGATCATTCCACAGTGATCAGTCAATATAAATCAGAATAAGTTCTTCTATACATTATATTAGCTAACAAAAAAGTGAACAATATTCAACTGCAGTTGATAACTCTCGAGATGCACCATCGATGCTGTGATGAAAAGCCATTACTGATAAAGCCTACTAGTTTCACAAATGAGACAGATATCACTGATGGTTTGGAAATATTGTGACAATACATAACATACTGACTAAATTCAGAAATTTTTAAAGTGAATTTTGATTCTGTGTAGTGTTCACTAAAAGACTTATAATTTTTCAATTGGTCTTTGCCCTGGTTGTAAGTGTATACAAATGAGAAGTCCCAAACTAGAATGATAAAAAACGTCTACTACTCCATCGATCAGAGTGATTCTCCACTTGATGTGAGCATATAATGGAGACCATCTTTGAATAGGTTCATGATTGCAACGTTCACATTGGATTTTATATCAAATGATGTCTTATTATTAGTTTTGAAGATTACGTGACAGTTATTTGTTGCTTTTCAGTATCTATTTTGAGATTTTTAAACTCTAAAGGTCATTAATCATATTACAGTCGAAATTTGTTCACATTTGAGAAAATAATTATTTTAGAAACTTTTTGAACTAAATTTTCCAAATCATAATCAGGATATTATAGGTAATGCAATATACTAAAATACTACGTACTTGAGTTGATTCCAAAGCTCCAATACCAATGTAGAATGTGAATAAACCAAGTACAAATAATTCCCGATGGTTCGCAAGTAAAGGATATTCATCGCTTAATGCTGTGATGACAGCTTCAGAACCTCCAAACTAGAATTTAATTGGTAAAAAAAGAAGTTTTCAATACATTAGTTAAGGTTATTTGAATTTAATGAATACATAGTTATAAAAAAATAGTATGAAAGTATAGTTAGATGTTGTTGTCTATAAAGCCAACATAAGGCTTGAATGTTCTTACTTTTACAAAAACAATGAAAGCACTCTACTGAATAGTAGAAACAGACCAGTTAGCTACTGAGTTTATCCTATACTGGTCTTAAAATTAAACTGCTAATTAACATATCACCTGTTTAAATATGTTCTTCACTATATTTATTTTCTAATGGTAAGAAAAATTATTTTAGCTGAAGTACTTCAGACATTCTCTGTCTTCACTGATTAAACGTGTTCGATCAAAAAGGTCTAGAGAAAAAGTAAACTTGATTAGTTATTGAGCCTCACTATTGGAGTGAGTTAACATTAAAAGATACTGATTTGATGATTTCGAAAATCTAATCAAAGATTTTGAAACAGACAGTTTATTATTTTACAATTCGTCTTTCGATTTTTCATTCAACCCAAAGACTGTTGATGCGATTTTGTACCTTGCAGTTAATCTTCAAGGGAAATATAAATGGTACATTCTTATTATCATTTGAACATGACATCATCAGAACTTAACTATTTTTGGCATTTTTCTGACAAGATATTGAACAGCCACTTGTCCCTGTCATTAAAAACTACTGGTTGTTTTGAAAACAGTTTCTGTCTACACTCAACTCAAAGGAGTTTGAATTAAGTGGTTTTCTAAATGTGATAAATAATGTTCTCTTTTTAATGATCCAGATCAAATACCTGTTCATTTCAATGTTTAAAATGTGAGTGATTTTAGAAATTTAAATTGTCAATTTATTTTTTGTGGCTGCCGAGTTAGATTACCATTTCTTTAAAAATAGTTGTTTGAATTACTTGCTCGTTCACTTTAATGGTCAAGTGGGTATGTTGCTGAAGCTGTCAAGCGTTGTTAGGGTATACTATGTATATAAATACATATAATAGCCACCTTCTAATCAATTCAAATTATCAGTTTCTGAACAATTTAACAACTAAAAATGAAATAAATTTATTTTAATTTTAATTATATGAACGAAATAAAAAAAACTCACTGAGCTGTCCAAACCCAAAGTGAGCAACATGAGAAAGAAACAGATTGATAGAAATGTTGAACCAGGTAGAGTCGACAATGCTTCTGGATAAACACTGAAGACTAATACTGGATCTATTGAAAGATTAGTCAAAATTGAGAGAACAACTAACTCGAGAAGCAAAAGAGACTATTAAACATAGAGACTTTATTAATAAGCTGAATTCATTTTATGAGTGTTAGCATAGAATGTATGTGATGAATTCTCAGTCAGTAGCTTGCTTCATGAACTGAATTCAACTAGACGATAGTTGGAAACCGCGAAGCACTGAAAATCTGTTTTCCTCCCCGTATATGACTTCACAGTACGGTGAAACCACAGCTCCATTACTTATGGAACTCGTGACTTTTAGAGTTCGTTTCACTATATAGATAACTATCACTTAATACGTAACAATGAAATTTCAACTTTTGCATTAATGTTGTTCAAAAATGGTGCTTGAATATAATGTGGTAAAAATTGAACTTTATTTTGGTCCAAGTGTCAAACTTCTCAGCAGTGAACACTAGCAACTTCAATTGAGAACTAACCTCGGACCCACTAGCATCACCATGACAACGATTCTACTCAACCACTGAGTGAAAATCCAAAAGTCCGAATTCCAAACTTGTGTGATTTTACTTGAGAATAAATACTAGAGCATTTCATCTTCGAATCAATGGATTTATTTCAAACTCCATATGTTACAAAAATTAATAGTGACTGATTCAAGTATATAAATTAATATCAATTTATTGAAAAAACAAAGCATAAAGTTTTTTTTGAAAAATAATGATAAAAAACACGGAGATTGTTTTCTTGAATTAGGCCTGAGCAACATCAATGAGAAGTTTTAGACTCAATGGATATCTGAACTCATTAATTCAGGGGGTAATACTCTAGCGTTTAAAATGAAACGTAATTGGTTTGACGCATAGAAAGAATATCAACACTAGGATTCAGGTACATCCAAACGACGTTTATCTAAATTAAATGAAACACGATTTATAGATTCCACTGCTAACTATAATTCAACTGTACAAGAACTTTTTCTTGAAAGCTATATTTAGGCACTTAATTCGGGATGAACATATACTGACAGAGAAATATTCAATATAATTCACAAAGTAAACAGTGATGAAATTGAAACTCTTGAATATATACAGTTGAGAATTAAACTTAACAAATCATTTATATACAAGCTAATATGGTACTAAGCCTTCATTTATTTTCATATAAGTAAATAAATGTATGTTTAACTATCTATCTTTATTATGTAATCAAACAAAAATACAGAATATAGAAAATTTTAGATAAACGTAAAGTAAACTAATAGTATGATAACATGTCTTTTTTAGTATACTAGCCATTACAACTATTAATTCAATATTTCATATTTACAACATTTTACTATCTTTAAATTGTTCATTCATTTGAGCACATTTTGTTATTAAATTGATTATTATGAACAAAAGTTATTCGATTTCATATGCAAAAATAAACAGAGACTACTACTTCCATATTATCCTATTAAGTAGTAATTTGTGCATTTTATAAAAAAACAAATGCAGAATAAGAGATCTACACGATTTAAAAATACTCTTGTTCAACTTATTAAAGTAATATTATGGTGGTAAACTATCACAGGTTACCTATGTTATAACTGTGTAAGTATTTCAACTGGATTAGTTATTTTAGATTTGCTTGTATTGAATAATTATGGTTGATCACTGTATGTACTCACGGGTTATTATAAACAGCTTACAGAGTGTCGCGATACTGAAAAAAAACACCGAAGTTATAAAGATGTTCTTTGTTAATTTACATACTTGGTGCTGAGAATTCTATACTGTAATAAAAGTTATCATATTTAATAAAACCATTATTATTATTATTATTAAGTTTAACCACGTAGATTAATAGTATCATTTCTAAGGTAAAATTACTCTGCCTGATTATTTTATTAGATTTTCCTATGAATAGAAAAGAAACTATACTGTTACATTCTACTTACATTTCATGTAAAATCAGCTAATAATCGCATAACATTGCTGAATTCACCATGTTTATGTACATTATCTCTTTGTAGTATAAATAATCTAGCAAGGGTTTTTCATGTAACCTTAGTCAGAAATTGGAATATTCAGAGCTTTTCAATTAAAAAAACAGTACGTTTTAAACTTACCATCTTTGATTACATCTAATACAAGTACATTACGTTTATATGCCATATAACCCAGTAATGTGAATACCACAAATCCAGATAATAAGCTTGTTAATGAATTAATTGATGCCACAACTAATGCATCCCTATCAGTTGATATTTTGTATTGATAAAGACAGAAAAAATACGAAACTTTAGTAAAAAAATAATACACTGTCACAGTTTAAACAAAGTAAGTAGAATACTTACTTACGCCCGTTACGCCTCGTGGAGAAGCATGAGCTGCCCACCACCATTCTCTACCCAACCCTGTCCTGATCAATCCTATCCAGTTATTATTCATCCTTTTCATATCTGCTTCTATTTCCCGTTGTAATGTGATCTTTGGCCTTTCTCTTTTCCGCTTCCCTACTGGATTCCATGTTAGCGCTTGCCTCGTGATGCAGTTTGGTGATTTCCTTAATGTATGTCCTATCCACTTCCAACGTCTTTTCCTAATTTCCTCTTCAGCTGGAAGCTGGTTTATCCTCTTCCATTAAACTCTGTTGCTGATAGTATCCGGCCAAGGAATGTTGAGTATTTTGCGCAAACAACTGTTTATGAATACTTGTACCTTCTTCACGATGGATGCAGTAGTTCTCCACGTTTCAGCTCCGCACAGTAGGACTGTCTTGACATTCGAATTGACGATTCTCACTTCCAAGTTAGTTGACCATTGCTTTGAGTCACATATGTTCTTCAATTGTAGAAATGCTTTTGTTGCTTTGCCAATCCTCGCCTTTACATCTGCCTCAGATCCTCCTTGTTCATCAATGATGCTGTTGACCAGCTACGTGAATGTTTCCACCTCTTCCAGAGTTTCATCATCAAGTGACAGAAAAACCTAGATTATATATTTATGAAAAATTAACAATCAAGAACTAGACTGTGGTAAAATGAGAAATCCAACTAGCTGGTTTCGCTCACCGAGTTAAAATTTCAGTCATTGAGTTGATAAAACTTACGAGAAAATTTGTTTTTATTGTGTACATCTTCCCTTGGTCATCTAGATAATTTTGAAACATATTACTTATGAGACAGTGTGATCAGAAATCAACAGTTGATTTGCATTAACCCACTGCAACTAAGGAAGTAGTAGTTATAGCATTTTAGGAAAACAGTTGACTGCGACCACAACGTAATTTTCTCACCAAAAACAAATAATCTTGCATATTGTTATTAACATGGCTCAAATAATCATAAACAAAATTGTAAAACAAAGGATTTCATGGAAAAGAATTTTTTATATGGCTTAGAGAAACTTTGGCTATCAGTAACACAGGAAACAGAGGCTTCGTCACATTTGGTCCTCATCAACTTGTTCAAAAGATTTGAATATCAGAATTATTAAGGATTTTATTCATCTTGATGCTGATATTTATGACTAAGTTTTGATGAGTCTATCTTACCCAAATTTACATCCTGTGCAAGTCACCTTTATTTGGCTATATCGAGTAAATATCAATTAATCATGAATTAACTTCATATTGATCTCTTAAAAACAGTTTGATACTATATTGGGATCGATATACAATAAGTCTGATTTCAGCAATTTATTATGAAAAATCAAACTTTGACAGAAAGCAAACTAAATATTAAAATTAAACAAAAATTACTGCTTTTTCACTTTGTCCGTATTTGATTACCTGTATACATTATTATGAAATTCATTATAAGATGCATAAGCCATAAGTACACCGAATCCAGGTCCAAGTGAAAAAAATACTTGTGTTGCAGCATCTACCCATGGTTCAGCAGATTTAAGCTTCGTAATATTTGGCCATATATAATGATATATACCATTTGTAGATCCAGGTAAAGTGATTCCACGAAATAGGAATATTATCAATACAACATAGGGAAATAATGCAGTAAACCAAACAACCTATAAGAAAAAAATATGGAAGAAATATCTCTTGTATAGATTGTGAGAGGAAACAAGTAGAGAGAATAAAACAAAATTATAAATCTTTGTGAAACTCTAAATAGAAATTATCATATTATATTTCAAGATTAACTAAATTAAATGATTGTGTATGCAGATTCGCAGATGCACACTACTGCGGAGTCTCACACTAGAACGAAACATCCGTCTAGTGCTTCCAGGTTTTCCATGACAGTCTAGCTTATATCGACTAGTGAATTTAATTATGAAAATACTACAATCTCCACGAATCTCCATGCAGATACACTAAATGAATTGGATTATCAGAGTAACATCTGAGTCATGAAGATTTTGTCTGTATTTTAAAAACCTAATATATATTTCACATTGTATCGGTCAGCAGATTATATTTACTTGATCGCTTTTTTTTACGTTTTATCATCATGATTAGATACACATATATATTTTAATAATGCGTTTTGTATACAAAACAATGCTTCTAGCCATTTTGTCAGTATAGTTTACTCTTTTTGGTATTTCTTAACCATAGTTACGGTCACTTTTTTAACAATGAAGAATACCAAGTAAACTTTGTAAATTATGAAAACCCATCGACTGGAATTGTCTTTATGTGAAATGCAGGTACTCCAAATATTGATAATTCTGTATGTTTCTGGATTTAGGAAGCGATTAATCAACTTACAGTTCCTACTGGTGGGTTATATGCAGGAATATTATTTTAGTTAACTATCATTTTATATTTGAGATATATCTATAGCTCTGTCTGAAAAGTCATGTTGTATATGTTATGTTAACATGCCATGTACCAATGGTTTGATCTACAAAAATTTGTTTTGGAATGCTTACATCACTGTATAGTTAAAAATTTTGAACAATGACCTCTCAAATCTCCTGTTCCTTGTCCGCACATTTTGTCTATCATGTCATAGTCATAGGTGTAGTAGCTATGCCAGTTGGTCCAGTGGATTTGATATTATTTTAGGTCGAATGTGGAGTTAACAGTTTTTTACTACCAAAATGCACATACTTCTTCATTTTTACCCACCCATGCTATACTACAAGTCCATGAGTTCTTTCTCTTTACATTATCGAACCCTGAAAGTAATAACTTCCCTACTTTATAAGTTAAACTATGGGATACTGAAATCTTATTGAATTAATTGGTAGCTTCAATTTGAACAAGGATATTGATATGTTTGTGAAATACCCTTACATGATCTTTTGGTTTATTTACATAAAAATTTAGCAAGAAGAATAACCGCCAAAGTCTATGTAATAAAAGTTGTTTAAATAGTCATTTTTAAATGTGCAAATAACGAAGACGGATCTGAAATAGGTGAAGAAAATTTTTTAAAATTTTGTGAAGAACAAGTAAAGATAACATTCAAGTTTTATCAGATTAAAGAATAAATAAGAGTGTTACAAATTTATTTTAAAAATATAGACGAGAGTTGTTTGCTTGAATGTCTATTGAGTCTGCTAATATCAAAGATAAGAGGCCAAGTTTCACTGAGAAAACCTAATGGCATTTGAATGCTCTAGTTCTATCTACTATATGAACACAATCAACCAAGTGTTATACACCTTCATTGAGCATGGGTTTTGTTTGACCCTTTTCAAACCATAAAAGCAGATACTCGCTAAGTAGTTGACCAAATCATCTATTAGCTCACATAATAGAGTCTTTTTGTACAAAAACAACTAAATTCAAAAGTGCATAATGAAGTGGTCAAATCAGGCGGTTTAACTGATAGTTCAACTACCCCGATTAGTCAACAGTGAAATGCAAAAAAAAACAGAGACTCCTTTTTACAGCTCTAGTTTATCTGTAAAGAAATATATCACTAGCAAAATCGCTGTTGATTAGTAGCTTTAATAAGATAAAAGGCTTTTTCAGGAATAGTCCATGTTTCCACCTTTCTATTCACAGTTTACAAATAATTCTTCAAATTCATTCTGTAAGTAATTCATTTCACTTGCTCCATTATGTATAAAATTCGGTTCTTTGTCATGGATAATGAAAAATACTCTACATGAAATCCTTTAGATTTTTAAATAACTAAGGCTAAGAGATTTTACTGTATATAAATACCTAGAAAATTTATGATTCACTTTTTCGTGTTTTTTTTTATAAATTGGACATGTAACTCACTTTGCCTGATGTATGTATTCCTTTCCATAGACTGAAATAACAAATAACCATAACAGCTATAAAGCACAATAGTATTTGCCATTGAATTTTACCAGGATTTTCTACATTTGTATCTTTAGTACGACCTAGAACTTGATTACTGTAATAGAAAATATTTTTCTTTAGAAAAAAGTTTTACAAATTTCTGATTGTCTTACAAAAAAAAGAAGAAATACTGAATATTTTTATGCAAAATAAATTCAAAGTTTAAACTATAATACCATAAGAGAAACTTTTCTTTATAATCATCTATTTAGATAAATTTGCCTTAGTGGATTAGGCAAACAATCAAATTTTCTGAAACATTTTATTAATATGAAAATAAATTTTTTTCCACAACTTTTATTGGTTATTTCACATTCAGTGTGCTTACGGAAAGAATGAACATTTTTGAATGTAATTCTTGCCCTCAAATGCCCTGGTAAGGCCGAGAGTGGGGAGAGTCTACTCTCCCTCTCCAAATGCTCTCATATGGCCACGCGTATACAGCCTCTGCCAGGGAAGTCATACTCAATGCCTTCTCGTGACATTACTGTTGTTTACGAAATTGAGAGGACGGAAATCGAATGTCTGGCGCTTTAACCGAGTTGAGGGACACAGAAGGTCCACCTAGGGTAGTTGGAAAACCTCGATTCCAAACCAATAGTGCACATGGGCTCCAGGATCCTGAGAGAGCAAATGGCGTATGAATCAATCGTTGGTCACCGGCTACTATAAGACTGCATCTCCTCACGATGCTCCTGCACTGCCTTGTGGATCAGATCTTTAGGTCAAAGGCTCCGGACCCCTAAGAAAACCACCTGCTTCAGTTTGGGCACCTGAGCAGTATCACAGCTCTCACACAAATCAAATGAGATTTGTGCGGCGCATACATATTTGGTGCTTCCTTGTACCAATATTTATATGTTTAAATAAATATAACTAATAAAGAATGTAATTCTCTATAATGGCTTATTTGTCAACAGAATTTTATCTTTTATTCAAATATTATCATAGATTCACTTATTTAATATTATGGTATTTTAAAATTAGTTTCTAGCCACGTTTGAACTTCACTCAAATATGATGGAAGTAACCGATGACAAATTATCTATATTTTAATTCCTCAACTTTTTCATCATAATACCAGTTCATAATACATGTAGATGAAAAGTGAATGTTATGAAAAATTTAATAATCAGTGATCTGTTCATTTAGAAAATGAATATGAATATTATATGATCTACTCATTATAATATCGTTGGCTTATATTTTGTCAACCCATTATAATCACTAATGTCAATCGTGTAAGTAATATCAAATCCACTTACACTCACCATCTGTACTCACTTTACAAAATAAACAAAATTAGTGAAAAAAAATAAAAAAAAATATCTTAAAAACTATTCCAAAAGAAATTACCTGAAAAATTCCTCAACAGGAAATGTTATATTCCCCATAATCGAAGAATTATTTCGTAGTGAAAAATTTTTCCACTGAAAAACTGAATCATTTTTTGTCAAATGAAAATCTATGCAATTCTCTGTATTCCATGCATTATTACACGACATCCATGGTAGATTGAATGTAAATGATACCCCAAAATAATATAATGACCAAGCTATAATCATATTATAAAACCAATCAGTGTAGAAAGCCACAAGAACAACACTGTAACCAACACCTACAGTGTAAAGAGTGAAATAAATGAAGTTCATTCTTGAAATACTTAAAAATTCTGAGTAAGGGTTTTGTGAAGATTTTAGTAATTTTATAGTTGAATTTATGAGTCAATTGAAGCTAGACAATCATGAAAGACCTGAAAGAACTGGACGGCCGTTTCGTCCTATTGTGCGACTTCTCAGCAGTCCCACAATAGGACGAAACGTCCGTTCATTCTGTTTCCATTGAATGTCTGTTATTTGTTTGTGTGTATAGTCATAAGTAAATTCATTTATGCAACTTATTGTCTTAGTTTAGTTTCTTCAAAACATATGAATATGTAAGATATGATTCCTATTTTTTTGTAATTTCAACTAACCTTTCAAAAGTGGACATACTCTTCCCCATGACGTAATAGCACCTTTACGAATAAATTGTCCTAAAGCCAATTCCATATAAAATAAAGGAATTCCACCAAATATTAGCATCAGACCATATGGAATCAGAAAAGCACCTTTAATAAGAGAAATGAAATATACAAATGGACTATTTATAGAATCTGCAGTTATTTACGGAAAATTTATTCTCAATATTGAACTAAAAACATAAGATATACAGTAATATCATGTTATAGTCCACATAATACTGTGTGAAATTTTTCACTTAACAACATAATACTTCTATAGTGTATTCATTCTCCCTTGTTGCTTCAACATAAATATTGAAGACATAAAGAGTATTATGAAAAAGGAATTTAAAGACAACCGAAAGGTCCAGAAATACAAGAACAAATACTGTATGGATGATAAAGTCATAGTGAAGAAATAATATATTAATACTATTAGTGAAAATCATCTTTAAAATAATCTCAGAGATTGAAATCTAAATAATTCCAACGTTTTAATCACTACGATTACTTCAAATATAATTTTCACAAATAATCTATTCTCTATACTCAGCGCTTAATCTCTACCAAACTATTCGTTCAAATATTGACAAATTTTAGTATGATATCTTGATAGTTAACACATTTATTCATCATCTTTTTGAATGGTCGGATGATGCCATTACTTACGCCTGTTACTCCCAATGGAGTATAGGCAGCCGACCAGCTTTCTCCGACCCATTCTGTCTTGGGCCTTCCTTTCTAGTTCTATCCAACTTTTGTTCATTTTTCTCATGTGTGTCTCCATTTCTCGGCGTTATTTGTTCTTTGGTCTTCCCATCCTTCTTTGGTTTTGAGGATTCCAAGTAAGAGTTTGCCTTATGACGCAGTTGGGTGATTTCATCAACGTATGTCCTATCCACTTCCAGCGCTTCTTCTTAATTTCTTCCTCTGCTAAAATCTGGTTTGTTCTCCCCCACAGTAGGTTGATGCTGATAGTGTCTGGCCCGGATGATACCATGATGCAAAAATATCCGATTTCGTTAACTAATTTATGGTACAATTTTAAAGGTATTCAGCTGAAGACGATTTGGATGAATCAATAATATACGGCTGTTACAATATCATGTACATTTGAACAGCTTTAAAACTCATGAAATCAAGTAGAATATCAGCATTTTGCAAGAGAATGAATTACGGCAAGATGATATTCAAAGAATATTTTTACAAATTTTTGTTTTACCCAAATAAATCTTCACTGAATATAACATTTGTTAGAAATACAATCGCACCATAATTTCTTATTTAGTTTTTTTCACAAAATGAATTTTATTTATTCTTTGAAAGTAAACTAGAACATTAAATCTGTTCTTCTTCATGATACTGTATCCCAACTGTTTATATGCCTGATAATTGTCAGTACAATTCTTATGTTATACTGTGGTGTGGTTTACTTATATCCACATAAGTAGTGTATTACGATGGTCGGACGTATAATGTATTTCAGTGGAAGATCGATAAGGAAAGAACAGAAACGGAACGCAATTGGTATGAAAATGCATGAACAATAATAATCGGGGACAATGAACTGATATTTGCAGAAGGAATGGTCAAGATTGAGACGGTTGGTTAATAGTTTGCAAATTGACTATTTACTAAATGGTTCTCATATTTTACTGAGATATTCCGTAATTTTGTGCTCAAATACAATCGATTGACCCTACCCGTGTTCTGTTCACTATACCACTACTATTATTGTTATTATGGTGAATTTCATAATCCAACTTGGCTTGACTAATTATTTATTTCCTTTAATAAAAAATAATTCTTTAAACCGTTTGTGATTTTCACTGACTTGATTCTTAAGCCTTTTCGAACCTTCTATCTATATTATGAAATCCATAGCATGGATTTTTGAATTCCAGACAATTACTGACTTACCCCTTTTGTGTTGAAAAGAAATAAGTTATTCTGTTCTATACATATCTCAATATCTACTGGAGATTACAAAGCATTTCATACTTTTGTTATACTTCATCTATATGGTAACTCTACTCTACAACGAAAAATGTTAACGGACAATTTTCCACTCCTTTTTTCTTCACTAATTGAAGTTTTGAAGTAAATACTTTCTAGCTAAATAATAAACAGACGAAATAATGTCAGAAAATGGAATTCCGCGTTTTTAATTGATTCATTCAAAAGAGGACTGATAACTTAAAGAATTATAATATATAAACTAATGATGACCTATAGTCTTTGCACTCATTAATCGAAATTCTAAAATTGGAGTCTGTTGTCGTTTCTAATCATTAGTAAAAATTATCAGAAAATAACACTTCACCCTCACTTATTAGTGAGAGAATAAAGATTGTGGTATTACATCCTACTTTTAAGAATGAGATAGGTACTTTAGATAAATTTAAATAAAATATTATATGTACAGATTTATGCCTTCAAACGAAATATGTATCAATTGCTCATAGAATAATGTACTCCAATTTTAATCCTAAAGGTCCTACAACCTTTGATCGAAACAATACGATCAGAAGTGAAATATCTTTTCAGAGCCTTTTAGATTGCCATTGGGTTTCAAAAATGTTTGCTTATAATGAAATAGACTACTAAAATACACATTCATTTTTAATGTTTCTATCTTAATCGACTACCGTAGTTCATCTCACAAAAATCGTGCCTAGAAAAAAAATAGGGATTTGAACAAAACCAGTAAGCTCCTACACATCATGTTATATATATACCATACTGAATTGTTGATCTGTTATACAAATGAAGATAGCGCTCATAACCAAAGTAAAATTAACAAAAATTTAATTTTTTTATATATAGTTGAAATCATGAGTCAATTGTAGCTAGACCACCACGGAAAACCTGGAAGCACTGAACGGCCGCTTCATCCTATTGTAGAACTCCTCAGCAGTGCACATCCACGATTTAGTTAGTACAAAGGAACTTGTATAACAGCATATTCTACTTACCACCACCATTTTTATAGCATAAATATGGAAATCTCCAAACATTTGCCAAATCAACAGCAAACCCAATAATAGATAATAAGAAATCCATCTTCTTATTCCATTTATCCCGTATTCTTTCTGTACTTATCTCAATATTATCATTACTCATATTCTCTTTATCAAATTGATAAATATGATAATTATGTTTATTATTGTATTGATCATTTTGTTTAAATTGTTTTGAATTTGTTAATTTCAGTTTATTTGTCTTTTTGGTAAGTGATAATGTTTGCTGAAGCAATTGGTCTTCATTCAAAGAATTATGATTACTTATTTTATCATTAGTAATATGATCATTGTCTATGATATCATTATTATTATTAATACTGCTATTACTAATTATGAGATTATTCTTGTAAGTGTTTATTTTATTTAAATGAGCGGTCATATTGTTCTTGTTTGATTCTTCTTCCATAAATTTTTTATCCTGTGTAATTTGTGTAATTTTATAAATTGAATCTGTCATATTTTGATAGATTTCATTAGTGTAACAATATTTTGAATGTACTGTATGCCAATTACAGAATTCATATAGATCGAATAAATGATTACAACAACTATCTTACAAACTTCAAGAGAATTTTAACCACATTATTGATGTATAGTACAATGTTGAAATAATTGTTGGATAGGTACCCCGTTATGATTGTAATCTATTTGATTATGTTTGTTTCGAGGTATTTTGGTGACAGAAAGCACCTTATTGAAATAAATATCTTTCTTTCTGTTTCTATATATAAATCCTAGAAATTTTAGATCACTTGAAATTTGATTCGTTCAAACTGTTGCAAAACATCCTATTGAATATATTTATAATCATGTTTTCAGGTGTACATCAAGAAAAGAAAAAAAGAAATACTCAACTCACAAACTAGAGTTTATGACATGTATTTGTGTTTTTTTGTTATGTTTCCGGTAACATATACAACATAAATTCACATTTACATAACCATGAGAATTTGAGCAATATTAGTTATTAAAACTTTGATCCTTTTCAGGAGTATTAGTAGTATTAGTAGTAGTAGTAATAATAATAATAACAGGGTAGGGCATATATCTAGTTTTACCATGTTTTTATCATTGTTTTCCATTGAAAAATCTTTCTTTTGAAATTCAACGAAAATTCATGTTTCTTTTCAGCATTTATAACAACAGAAATTCTTAAAGAAAAGATGAAATTATTTTATATTACCTCCATTATTGGGAATAAATCTATCTAGAAGAATGTGGAATTCTTTCGAGATATCAAGATTATCACATGTAATTTAACGTATGATTAGTTTCTATAGTTTATTACCATCAATAGATATTCTAAACATTTTAATTAATATGTATAAAGCCAAAGGCTCTTCTTAGTCATTTTCCGGTATGTAGATAAACATTATTGGTAGTCACATTTTTCTCATGAGGCTTGTATTTTGTTAAAAAAAACATGATTATACTCAACTGTATGTTGCAAAATTGATAATGTTAAAGCTCTGATCTACCATTTATTGATTCTTGGTCTTGAGAGATTTCCGCAACTTAGAAAACATTCGCCAATAAGTGACTGATCTTAGTAGATCTAACTTACTTAATTACTTACGCCTGTTACTCCCAATGGAGCATAGGCCGCCGACCAGCTTTCTCCAATCCACTCTGTCCTGGGCCTTCTTTTCTAGTTCCATCCAGTTCTTGTTCATTCTTCTCATGTCTGTCTCTATTTCTCGGCGTAATGTGTTCTTTGGTCTTCCTCATCTCCTTTGACCTTCAGGATTCCATGTGAGGGCTTGTCTTGTGACGCAATTAGGTGATTTCCTCAAGGTGTGCCCAATCCACTTCCAACGCTTCTTCCTGATTTCTTCCTCTGCTGGAATCTGGTTTGTTCTCTCCCACAGTAACTTGTTGCTGATAGTGTCTGGCCAACGGATCCAAAGTATTTGCGTAGACAACTGTTAACAAACATCTGTATCTTCTGGATGATGGCTTTTGTAGTTCTCCAAGTTTCCGCCCCATACAGTAGAATTGTCTTGACAGTCGATCACCAGAAGAAAGAGAAAGGGTGAGAGTAAGCAACCCCGCCTGACACCGGTCCTTACCTCGAACGAGTCAGTGAGTTATCCTCCATGCACGATTTCGCAGTTTATTTTATCATAGGATTTTGATATTGACTATCTTCTCAGGCACGCCTTAGTGTCGAAGAAGCATCCATAGTATAGTTCTGTCTACGTTATCAAATACTTTTTTGTGGTAAATGAAGTTGATGTAGAGCGATGAATTCCACTCAATTAATTGTTCTACAATGATCCTTAGACTTGCGATTTGTTCTGTACACGATCGATCCTTACGGAATCCAGCCTGTTGGTCTAGAAGTTGGTCGTCTACGGGGTCCCTCATTCTGTTTACCAATATTCTGTTGAAGACTTTCCCTGGTATTGAGAGAAGAGTGATACCCCCCTAGTTATCACACTTGCTGAAATCCCCTTCCTCTGGTATTTCGATCAGAAGTCCTACTTTCCAGTCTGTTGTTACTTGTTCTTCATCCTAAATCTTACTGAAGATAATGTGGAGTATCTTGGCAGTTGCTGTTACATTTGCTTTCAGTGCCTCTGTCGGGATGTTGTCTGGTCCCGCTGCTTTGCCACTCTTGATTTGTCTAATGGCCATGCTGATCTCTTCAATTGTTGGTGGGCCAATATCGATTGGGAGGTCTGTGGGTGCTACTTCGATGTTGGGTGGGTTCAGTAGAGCTGGTCGATTCAAGAGTTCCTTGAAGTGTTCTACCCACCTGTTTCGTTGTTCTTCAATGTCGGTGATTACTTTGCCTTCCTCGCTTTTCACTGGTCTTTCTGGCTTACGGTAATTTCCAGCAAGTTTCTTTGTTGTATCATACAGTTGTCTCATGTTTCCCTCTCTTGCAGCCTTTTCCGCTGTCATCGCTAAATCTTCCACATATTTACGTTTGTCGGTTCTGATGCTCCTCTTCACATGCTTGTTTACTTCTGTGTATTCGGCTTGAGCCTTGGCCTTTTCTGCTGTTGTTCGGCTGATATTGATTGCTGCTTTCTTGTTCCTCCTTTCTTTAATCTTATCCAGTGTATCAATAGTGACCCATTCCTTGTGATGGCACTTCTTGTGGCCCAGAACCTCCTGACATGTTGAAACGATTATCTCCTTGATCCCTTTTCCAGTTGCTCTCCATGGTAGTTCCTTCTCCATTGAGATGGTGAAAGGCCTGGGACTTATTGTTGAGAGCTATCTTGAATTTGTTGAGAAAAGCCGTATCAAACTTTTGTGATGTTGTCCGCCACGTTTTCCAGTGCTTCTTAAGTTTCAGTTTCCTCTTGGCGACCAGCAAATGATGATCGAATGCTATATCAGCTCCTCTCCTGGTTCGCACATCCTCCATCGTCCGCCTGAACTTTTTGTTGATGCAGATATAGTCGACTTGGTTCTGAGTAGTGTGGTCCGGTGAAGTCCATGTGGCTTAGTGAATGCGTTTGTGTGGGAATATAGTTCCGCCTATTACTAGTTTATTGAAGGCATATAGGTTTGCAAATCTCTCACCATTTTTGTTCTTTTCTCTCAGTCAGTCCATGTCGTCCCATGACGTCTTCGTATCCAGTGTTGTCCATTCCAACCTTGGCGTTTAAATCTCCCATGATAATGTTCAGATCCTTTGTTGGGCACTTCTGGATGATCGACTGAAGCCTATCGTAGAATTGGTCTTTAACGTCTTTATTGTAGGCGTATAACATTGTACAAATTCATTGTAATACCCTCTTTTTTTGTTTTCAAGGAGGCTTTGACGATCCTGGGTTCACGAGATTCCCATGCTACAAGTGCAGTTCGTGTTTGTTTGGATAGCATCACTGCAACGCATTGTGTACGTGGGGCACTTTCTTCATGACCGGAGTATAACAGCAGTTCCCTTTTAATTAGTCGTTGTTGTCGAACCTGCGTCCAATGTGTCTCAAGGATCCCAAGCACCTTCAGGTTGTATTTCCTCATTTCTGCAGCAATTTGCAAGACTTTTCCGGTCTCTCACACTATCCAGACGTTCCATGTACTTATAAAAATTGCTGTTCTGGTTGTTAGAAGGTGCATCGGCCTCACGACTTCCGAAGGAAATCGGCTTTCATCATGAGGCGTCATAATTCTTCCTTCAACTCCTAGGGCACAGTTTAAATGGTTTGAATAATTTTTCTGGTTAGGGTTTTTTTAGCGAATTGGTTTTCTACGGGATGAGGTTGTTAACTCCATGCCCAACGCTCCTCCTTTATCCGGGCTTGGAACCGGCAGTAGCCCTCGGAGGAGCTACAGGCGGAGTTTTAGTAGATCTAAAGGACAAGGTAAACAAGTAAGTTCATGTTCAATTGACTGATCAGTAGGATCTTTCCTTCACATAGAGGTGTCCTAGTCAAATTTAAGTGTAGGATGATGGCAGAAAAGTCATACAGAACGGTAATCACATAACCATAGAATAATGGTTTATAAGAACTATGTCTATAATATCATCCTTGGTTTCAAGATTTATTTATCCTTTCATCCTAGGTGTATTGATAATTGAACAGCTCTTAATTTTATTGTTTTAGAGATCATTAAATAGTGTTCAAAAACAAAGAATATTCGAGATAAATTATTTTAGTATCTTCATCATCAAACTCTACAGTTAAAAATCCATAATTATTGTATTTTAATTGTCAAATTAAGGTAAACATAGATAAATAAACTAGACAATGTTTAGTGTTAAAATAGTTTACGTTCACATCAATCACTATCCGAATAAGTTCAATGTGTTTCATTTGTGAATTTGAAAGTTCATCCTGTGAATTATTATTATTATTATTATAAATCTTTGTGAAACTCTAAATAGAAATTATCATATTATATTTCAAGATTAACTAAATTAAATGATTGTGTATGCAGATTCGCAGATGCACACTACTGCGGAGTCTCACACTAGAACGAAACATCCGTCTAGTGCTTCCAGGTTTTCCATGACAGTCTAGCTTATATCGACTAGTGAATTTAATTATGAAAATACTACAATCTCCACGAATCTCCATGCAGATACACTAAATGAATTGGATTATCAGAGTAACATCTGAGTCATGAAGATTTTGTCTGTATTTTAAAAACCTAATATATATTTCACATTGTATCGGTCAGCAGATTATATTTACTTGATCGCTTTTTTTTACGTTTTATCATCATGATTAGATACACATATATATTTTAATAATGCGTTTTGTATACAAAACAATGCTTCTAGCCATTTTGTCAGTATAGTTTACTCTTTTTGGTATTTCTTAACCATAGTTACGGTCACTTTTTTAACAATGAAGAATACCAAGTAAACTTTGTAAATTATGAAAACCCATCGACTGGAATTGTCTTTATGTGAAATGCAGGTACTCCAAATATTGATAATTCTGTATGTTTCTGGATTTAGGAAGCGATTAATCAACTTACAGTTCCTACTGGTGGGTTATATGCAGGAATATTATTTTAGTTAACTATCATTTTATATTTGAGATATATCTATAGCTCTGTCTGAAAAGTCATGTTGTATATGTTATGTTAACATGCCATGTACCAATGGTTTGATCTACAAAAATTTGTTTTGGAATGCTTACATCACTGTATAGTTAAAAATTTTGAACAATGACCTCTCAAATCTCCTGTTCCTTGTCCGCACATTTTGTCTATCATGTCATAGTCATAGGTGTAGTAGCTATGCCAGTTGGTCCAGTGGATTTGATATTATTTTAGGTCGAATGTGGAGTTAACAGTTTTTTACTACCAAAATGCACAT